AATATCAGAAAATAATGGATTCAAACATATACTGTAATTCATATAAAATATCCATATGTATCATGCAGATTTATTGTCAAATCTAAAAGTGTTTTACAAAGAAAATGTAAAAGAGAAAAAAAACTTCTTCATTTTTTAATTCAGCACCAAAAATATATAAAAATCATATGAAATAAACAATATTTTTTTTATCATTTCATTCCAAGCAAGGCAATAAAATGGGTTATTAAGTGTTAGAGATTATAAGAAAAAAAAGAGAACATTAAAAGTAAAAGAATTAAGAAGACAAAAGATAATTATTGAAACTGCATTAAAATTTTTGAAAATCAAATTGATTGGGAAGCAAGAAGCCAAAAGAGAATTCCACAAGTGAGAAGAAACTCTTAGCATAGAACTTATGGTTACATCTAGCAATTACAACAGTAAAATGTTGAGAGCTAGCTGCTAATCTCATACTGCATTTAAATGCATAAAGTTTTGATACCATAGAGGAGATTTCATCAGAACAATTACCATAAAAGTACTTATAGAAAAGGCATGGACAAGTTACATTACAACTGTGGGAAAGTGACTGAAGCCAAGATGTCAGGATCAGTAACATTTCAGATTCTTCTTTGGATTTTATCAAGAATTTCTAAATATATAGCAGGAACACTAGACCAAATGTGATAGCAATATTCAAAGCAAGGATGAAAGGTAGACTTATAAATATGTAAGATAGATTCTGGTGAGAAAAATTGTCTAGCATGATACAGGGAACCAACAGCAGACCTAACAATGGATTCAATATCATTTTTCCACTTCATGTAAGCAGAAAATTTTTGTCCAAGATAGCACTAGGTGTCATTCATGGCATCAGCCATGTTGATGAAAGGCAAAAAGGCAATTAAAAGAGAGTAGTTTCATTTTGGAGGCATTAAAATTAACAACCCATTCCTTGTCCCAGCTACAAATTCGGCCAATCAGACTCATTATAAAGACAGGAGTAAATAGTTGTGTCTGAGATACTGAGTTGAGAACTGATGACATCAGGAAAGTCATTGATAAGAATTAAGAACAGCATAGGTCCAAGGATAGAGCCCTGGGAGACACCTGCATTAATGCAAAAAGATCTAGAAGAGTGGCTGTTCAAGATAACTTTCTTTTCACAATTTGATAAGATAAACTCGATCAGTTTCAGCCAGAAATACTATAACCTTTGAACTAGTGAAGAAGACCAGTATGCCAAACTCCGTCAAATGCCTTGGAGATAGCCAAAGCAACAGCCCAAGCTTCACCATTCTTATATAAAGCTTGATAGACTCTTTTAACAATAATCATTAATACATCAGCAGCTGACCTAGAGAAGTGAAAGCCATATTGCTTATCTGAAAGAAAACCCTGCAAGGTGAGATGCCTAACCAATTCAAAGTTAATTAGAGCAAATAATTATATAAAATTTATGATCAATATTTAATGACTAGTATAAAATAATTTGATTTACTATTGCAAATACATAAAATATAGTTAACATAAAATCAATGTAATATTTTTGTAACATATTTCATCTGCCTCAATTATTAAAGCTTATTTTTTGACTTTCTTCAAAATCACTCACTGAAATGTACTTCTATGCTAGCATTTAAATAACCAATTATAATTGACTTTTGACTAATAAAATAAAATTCAAGTAACCACAACACACCAAGTGTCTCAATGTTTGACTTAAATTTAAGCTTTATGACATATAAGAAAAATAACATGACCATCATGGATTTTGCTCAAAATTGTCATAGTTATAGATCTGAATTGAATGACGCCTGTTTCATATTTCTACTTCAAATGATGCTGGAAACAAAATTTAAAAATCACTTTCTCTGTTGTTTTTACACCTAGAATGCTAAATTATATACCATTTTGGATAAAGTAAATCTAAAATTTATTCTATGTATCATAAAAAAAGAGGTCAAAAATAGGTTGATCTTGAACTTGACCTTTGACTTTTTTTTTCTTTTAGCTCATTTGATCTATCAACTAATTTTCTTTTCTAAATTTGGCACATAATCGGTCTGATCTTTGGCATGGTATGTAGAAAATTTCATGGTAGAGAACAAATGGAAACTTGGGTTGCAAGAATTTTAAGGAACTAAGACTTTAAGTCAGAAAGAAGAAAATGTTTATATTTTTCAGGATACCTTCTTTTAACTAATTTAAAATGATATAAACACTAAATTTAAAAAAATTCATATTCCATACAATTTTTTTTTCATTTCGATCTTGAACCAAAATTCCATGTTTCTTCTATCTGATACTATCTCTATACATCTGAAAATTAAATCTTTTAAATATTTTTTTCTTTTTGGATAGCTCAAAGCATTTTAATATAAGAACATGATATGGCATAAATGCTTTTCAATTGGTTAGAGCATTAGACTTTTAAAATTCAAAATTCATATCTTACAAGATGTCCCAAAATGTTGAAATCAGATTCTTTATATTTGGTTGGAAAAGAAGTCCTGCCAAAAATGCAAATAAAAAAATGCTTCTTTGGCCTTAAGCAATGTATTTAATCAAGATAATATTACCCCACATTATCAATAACATAACATAATCCATTCTATTTGGCAAATTATTGATCCATCAGCTGTAAAATTCTTCAGGTTTTAAGGTAAACAAGCAGTTTCAACTTCTTCACAATTAAGAAACTGTTTTCATTCTAAAATCTCACAGTAATCTGAAAAGATGATAGTCAGATAAAGGATTGGGTAAAACTTTTATATTTAGTGACATAATCTTTTCCTGAGTGACTTGACCTATATGTGATCTTGCATTATTGTGTAAGAGCAACACACCTTTATGATTAACCAAAAATGGGTACTTTTTCTGCAGTGCTTCCAATTGACAAGACTTCTCTGTATTAACAGTTTCATTTTTGTTTAGCATTTCCCAATAAATGACACCCTTCATATACCACCAAAAACTTTTTGTGGGTGTAGTCTTGGTTTGGGTATGGATTCTCCTTTTTTACTGGGTGCTAACCATTGTTGTTTTTGTGGGATAGTATTATTGATAATCTGCAAAGAAATAAATTAATGGTTATTTTACTCTAAGTATAGAAAAAGTACCCTCAAAGTGTTCATGTCAAAAATGCAACAGGATTCTTTTCAACCTAAAAGAACAATATTTCCCAAAATAATCATTTTAATAATCAGTTTTCTATTTTTATTGCCAAAGATTTCCAACTTATTTTAAAAATAATTTGAGTGTATCAATAAAAAATATTTTTTTAAAAATACTTTTTACTGGAAAAATTCTTACAGTTGACTTGAAGTGATGCATTTTATAATTACCTGCATATGCGTTATGGTTTTAACAGAAAAAATTATGAGTAATAAAGTTATAAAAATATAGGTATGCATAATAAACTTGTGTACATGAACTGTCTGTAAAGTATCATTTGAAATAATGTTTTTGGCAAATATTTTCTGAAGCAAAGCTAGTCAATTATTGAAAAGGAGTTCTTCTGTGCTTCAATTAATAAAAAACTCATTACTTGAGATACAAAATCTAGATAAATGTATATATTTCAGAGGTCCTCAGATTTTAAATTTTCTAATGTGTGTATATGTATAAAACATCTATTTGATTATGTTTCAATCTAAATGCAGAGGATTGTTGTTTTTATGTTGCTAATGTATTTTAAAATACTTATTTGATTATAATAATTGTTTGCATCTATTTTACAGCAAGTCGATGGCGAAAGCATGGGAGTGTTGATTTATTTGATGTACGAAGACGACCATGGTATGTAATTTTTTGTTTATAGAATGAAAATTGTTTCTATATATCATTACAACATGAATATTAAATATTATGAATTTTAAATGTAGCCTTGTAATGTTTTTAAGAAAAACTTTAAAACCTATATAAATTAAGATATTGTAAAACAAACAAATTGATTCAAATTATAGCAGACACATTATAAAATCATAAGAATTCTATTAACTAATCAGATTCAGACAAAATAAAAACATCTTTTTATTGAAACTTATGATGAACATACTGACTGAGTGGGTAACAACTTAAATAAAATTTAATCAAAATAAAAATTACAGAAAAAAATAATATCAAATTGTTAATCTGCAAAGTTCCAGTTTTTAAGTTATTTAAAAAAAAAAGCAACAATTCTTATAAAACACCTCAACAGTTTCTGGAATATAAAAATTTAGGATTTACATTTTATCTGATTTCTTCTTTTCCTTTCCTTTTTCTTTGTGGATGAATTAGATATTTTTTTTTTCAAATTTTCAATTTTTTATAAGGTTTAACCTTCCACAGTTAATTATGTAATTAATCCGAACTTTTTTATTCAAAAAACAAGTTGAACCTCAAATTTCATTGCAATTAGTAAAGGAAAAAAGCCTTATAAAATTTCCAATGAACTCAATAAGAAGCAAACATGTGAAATGTAGGTATTAAATTGACACATTTTTGTATTGTATCATAAATACAATGCTTGTATTTTTACTAGTATGTTTTGGATGGAGCCAAAAAATTTTTGTGTTTTTACATGGGTTCTGATGGAGCTTTGGTCAGATAGATGTAAAATAAAGTCATCTGGATAGGTATTTAAGTAGTGTAACCAATGTAATTATTTAATGAGTTTGGTTTGATCAGAATACAAGTTTCTTAACACAAACAAAACATTATTAACAAGTGCAAATGTAAAGTACCTTGTCTTTCATCTTTAATTTGAAATATATAAAATGAGGGATTACTAATTTTGTGTGTGTCCAACTTTATATATATTTATATATATATATATATATATATATATATATATATAAATAAGAAATTTTTATATTACATCAATATTTTTTTTTTAAATTTTTAAATAAGTTATGAATTTAAGAAAATACATTTGTAGTTTCAAAAGTAGTTTCTAAATTTAAAAAATTATAACATTTGTTTGATGTTATATATATATAAATAGAATATATAAGTTCATTTTTAAAGATATGATGATTATTATTGATACGTAAGTATAAAGAAATTTTGGCTAAATCAGAAATCTTTTATAAAAATATATAGCATTTTAATGTTAGCATGACTTTTCATTTAAAAAAAATATTGTTTTTATGGAAATTTTTTCCAATTATTTTACTTTTTAGATGTTTTAAAATTCTTAATAAGTAATTTCCATTTCTTTTATTACTCTTCTAGTCAGCTTTATCAATTCTAAATAAAAATATTTTAATTTTAAATTTAAAACATTTTTATTTTTTAAAAGAAACTCTTAATGCTGTTGATTCCATGATAAATTCATGTAAGAAATGAATACAGATGAATTTTCATTTAATAACCCATACTGAACCCATAAGAACAGAATTTGTAAGCCAAATCAGGAATTTACTCAACTGTATCATTTTTGTTTTACTTAGTTCAAATTTCTTTATTTCTTTTATTTTTATATTCTTCCCTTAAGAAAGCATATGACTTTATATGGTGATCAGTAAGTTTAAAGGTTTATATTCAATTTAATTGATCTAAGATAGATATCAATTATCAATGATCTTTCTTTAACAGAATTTATTAAATCCTTTCATTTTTCATTGTTTAAAAAAAATTAATGCAAATTAGAAATTTTGCAAAAATAAAATTAAGCCCAATTTTGTCAACTTATTTTAAAATTAAAAAAATGGTTTATAAAATAAATTGATATTACTGACAGAATGATTTTCTACTGCTTCAAAATATTTCTTTGAAATAATGATTGAATAGGTAGCTATTTGTTTTACCATCATATCAAATGATGCAGCACTCTCAAAACTGGATTGTAGTTATGGATATAAAAAGCACATATCATATCCCTATTTTATTAAAAACTAAAATGACTTTGCAAATTGTCACTTTTTTTCTTTCTTGTATTTTCAAATTCACCCTGAATCATAAAAACATTTTTTGGTAGAAAATTTACATTGTTTCTGAAAATTTTAGCATAAATTATTTGATTTATTATACAACACACATGCACATGCATTTGTTAGATTTGATGATATATAAAAGTAAGTACGACCACAGATACACAAAATCTAAGGTTTAAAATTAATTTTTAAAAATGAAAAAACTTTCTTGAAGCTTTTATTTTAGTTGTAATTTCAAGCTAATAGATTAAATTTAATATTTCCAATGAGCAAAATACTTTGTAATTCAAAATTCATTTAAATTGACTGGAAGGAGTTTTTGTTTTGAAATTACTAAGACTGCTGATTTTACTGCCATTTTAGCCATCTGTCATCACAATGTAATTCTCATTATTAAAAAATCTTTCAAAATAAAATATACTTTTCTGAAACTTTATTTGAGGAATATTAGCTGATTTAAAGTTTAATTAATCTGATTTGATATTACTTTAGTTTAAAATAACACAGAAATATCTTTTTTTAACATGGTGATAGTTGTTTATTTAAGGCTGACATGTTGACAGCTTGCATGACAGATGGAAGTAGTTTATCTAATGTTTTTCTACAGTGGATATATCTATAAATTGTAATTGAGCACCTTTTTTATATAATTTTTGAGTACTCAATATTCTTACAAATTTAGGAAAATATTCTCCGTAATTTAATATTTTATTGAATTTTAGATACTTTGGCTTTACTATAGTTATGGCTCTTATTTTCTGATAATGTCATGTATGAACACCTGTATTTACAAAAACTTGTACTTTTATACACATACAAAAAATATTCAAAATTCTATTAAAAATATTGGTGTTTGATGATTTGTACTAAGCTTTTCCATCTATGATTAGTAAATATAGTTTTTATTTAATAATATCATCTAAAAGGGTAAAATTAATACAGAAATTCAAAAGATTTAAAACTTTAATTATTCTAATTATAAAAATGAAAACAATTCTTATAAAAATTCATTATTCATCAAATAAAATTTTTTTCATAAGACAATAATGTCCATAATATATCTTATTTATAAAAGCAATTAAAAGCTTTTCTAATTAAATAATGTCTTAGTTCTATTGCATATTTTATTTCACAATTCAGTCAGAGCATATTTTCGTTAACTGGGGTTCCAGTTTGAAAAAAAAAATCGATGATTTAAATTCTCTATGGAGTTCTGCTTTCAACTAATATAAAAATTATGTGACACAAAAATTAATTTCTCAAAATTTCTTAAAATTAAATAATTTAATGTTTGTTGTAACTAATGTAAAAAAAAAAAAATATTTTTACCAAGATTTTTGTTGTGGAGATGAACACACCTGTCCAGAAGAGGACTTGGACACATTAAATAGGTGAATATGGATGCTGAAATATTTCAGAAAGACTATGTCAACACCAAGCAACTTACTACTTTTTGATTGTGTTATCTTTATTCAATGCAATGAAGACATAACAATTTTCTAAATAAAAAAAAATTATATTTTTAAATTAATTTCATCCATTTCTGAATTAAGTTCTAAAAGTTTCATTAAAATCTGACAATTATTTGATTTTTGCAAGAATTTCCAAAACAATGTGGTTTTTATCACAAAAAGAAACACTAAAATTTCCTGTACTAATCTTTGGGTAACTCCCTCCTGACCACTACCACCGCCACCACCACTACCAGAAAGAAAAACAAGAATTTTACTTTTCTAAAAAGAATAAAAAAATATGATTGAATAATCCAGAAATCCTTTGGTCTTTCCTCTTAATAATAGCATAAAGATTTTGATGATAAAACTTTATTTTTATTAGGTTTGAGGCATTTTTTATCACAATGTGCTAATTTTTTAGCAAATCAGTGCTATATCAAAGCATGACTTCAGTAGTTATTTTCATTTTGCTACATTTTTTTATTCAAGGAAGGTGCTACAAAGTTTGTTGATTCAATCACGAAGGGATTTAAAAAAGTTGGTGTCACATCTACTATCTATATTTCTCATGTTGTCTGTCTGTGTGTCTGTCGTGGGTGTTGTTACCTCGCCCAGGCCGCATTTCTCACCTGATTTTGATGCGGTTTTCAACACAAGTTTGCAAATGGCTGCCATAAGGACATGATGGAGCCCGATTTTTGAGTTCGGAATCGGGTTCCGAAAAAATCGATAATCGAAAAAATTCTGCTTACAGAAGGAATGATCGCATTTCAACCAAATTTGACACCCTCTTAGAGTCTACCATTAGAAGTGTTGTCCAGAATTTTCATGACCATGGACCCCTAAACAGTGCAGAAAATCGATAAAACCCAAAAACCGATACACCCAGATTGCATCTGAACTGCATGTTGGTTTTTAGCAAAAACCGAGCGGATTTATGAAGTGGCCATTGGGAGTCATCATGTGAAGTTTCAACTCTGAGCACCCCCTAAACAGAGTGCAAATCGACAATCAGTCAACCCTTAAAAATGTTTTTTTCCGGTTTTTTAATGCTGATCGTATTGTGTTTATTTTGTTTAGTTCTTTTTTCGTAACAGATTTAATGTTTACTATAGAGCTTAGAAAAAGTTGGCAGTGTGATATAGGCAAGAAGTAAGGCATGTAACAACATCAGCACAGCAAAGGGCACTCCTCTAAAGGCAAGGAAGTGAAAAAATATTTTAAGTCAAGTGATAGCGATTGCTGTATTAGTCGTACTATTTTTTAATCAAGCACGGGCAACGCCGGGCCATGCTGCTAGTGTATGATAAAGAGAAATAAAGAGAATGACAGAAGACCAACTAAGTTTTATAATGAACAAAAAAGTTTTTATTCTAATTTTAGTGATTACGATCAGTGACTAAAAAGGAAAAACATAAAGGTAAGAAGTTAGAAATGGATTGCTCTGAAGCAGATTTCTGCAACCACTGCCTTTGCCTCACTTAATTTTGATGCCAACCATCAAATATGAATACCCAGATGAAAGACCTCCACTTGTGGGGTCATCCTACCACATCAAAGAGTTCTTTAAAATCTTTTATCTAAATGACCCAGAACTTGGAGAAGTTTCTTTCATGATAATAGATTGTCTGGGAACTTTTCAGCAACCTCTTGTATTATCTAAACTGAGATGAAATAAAAAAATGATTCTGTATATGGACATGGAAGTTATAAAAATTACACTATCACAGTGATTGAGAAATTTTGTATGATATACTCAAATGTAATATACACTGTATAATGAATTATTAACAAGGTGACAATTTTCCATTTTGTCAAAAAAGTACATGTTGAAATTTAACAAAATTTTTACAGAATGATGGCAACAGTTATATGCGTGTACCTTGTAAAAAGTGTAAAGTTCTGCAAAAGTATACAGAAACTAGTCATCTATAAATTATTAGCGAGATGTCATATAGGAACAAAGTGTCACTGTCAACACTTGGGTTTGAACACAGATCGCCAGAGAACAAACACAGTCGACCTCATCTTGAAATAATTAGATCACCTGACAGGTAAAGAAAGAATATATATATATCTGGGAATTAACAGCATCTCACCAAGGCGTTACTATTATTGTATCTGGGATTTACAAAGTCTCTCCTGCAAATAAGCATTACAAAATGTGGTGTAATTAAAACTCATGTAAACAAAAAAATAATGCTTTAATTGCTTCATATACAGATTGTTATGGATACATACAGTAACTGACATAAAATAAATAGAAATTAACAAGTACACAGAGTTAAAAAAATAATAGTGGAGCTGGTTAATAAGGGATAATGTGATTCTCTTCTTGAAATGATATGGATAAGGCGTTTCTCTATGGAACATGTCAATTTCTGGATTTCCTTTGATGTAATTCCACATGATACATTCACTGTTGCCTCCTTGCTCCTAAATTGGAGTCCATTCTTGTAAACGCATCGCTTCAGAACACCCCACAAGTTTTCAATTGGGTTTAAGTCTGGAGATTTAACCGTCCACAAAAGCCTAATTGTTGCAGGTAGTTTTATCCACTGCATGTGAGGGAGAATTATCTTGCATAATTATGATGGTTCTTCTGAATGTAATCCTTTGCTTTTTTAACCAAGGTTCAAGGTGCTCTCTCAGGAAACCTATATAAGCATCTATAGTCATTTTAATACTGCCAAGCACTTTCCACAAACGAACCATGATACCTCCAGTAATACAAGCCCAAATCATGATACCGTCTCCTCCTTGTTGGCATCTCAAGCATTGATGACAATGTCTTTCATCCAACAATCAGGGCCATCAAGATTCATCCATGAATAAAATCTTCAGAAGTCAGCCTTCATGTTATCTTTGTCCCATTTCAGTACATGTCATTTTATCAATTGAGGCGTTGTCACTGGTCACAATGATTTCCTGACCTTTTTCAGAAGACGACATCGAATAGTTATGGACACTGTTGTTTCTCCAATGTATTTGAAAAGTTCTCCACTGGTCAGGCTTGGGTTATTTACAGCTTCACATTTTTTTTGCAATAGAGAACGTTGGGAAACAACCCTCAAGTGACCCTTATCGGCCCTCTTATGTATCTTCATAGGAGCCGCAACAAACCTTTTCACAGTTTGGTGATATCTTCCAATCATTTTGGATATTTCTAATGTTGATTTACCTTTTTCAAGTTCAGATGTTATAACAGACTTCTCAGAAGCAGTTAAGTTGCAGATGTGACACATAATTGCACAATTAAGAAGTCACTTGTTAATAATTTGGAACACTGAAGTATCATGTAATTCATGCAAATGGCTGCAATTTGTTTACACTTGTGCAGAACCTTACAGTTTTTACACAGCACACACATGTAACTGTTGCCATCATTCTGTGAAAATTTTGTTAAATTCCAACGTAGGTTTTGGACAAAATGGAAAATTGTCACCTTGCTAATAACTCATTACCCAGTATATATGTAGTACATTTAATGAAAATTAAAAAAAACTGCATTTCAAATTAAAAAAGTGAATGTGTAAGTGTAAGTGTTCTCCAAGCAAATTTGTCGAAGATTACTCTCCCAACAAACGCTGTAGAACAAAAAAATTAATTTTCCTTCTCCCAGATCACACACAAAACACAAACCTTTTTCTGGGGTACCTGATTATCTTTTCACTACACTCCCCACTGTCACATTTAAATGACACTCACATGGGCCTCTTTATTCTTAGAATTCTCCGGAGAGAATTATGAAGGTTGGAGGAGATATGTGTGTTATGTTCTGAGGTTTTTCTGATCTGACAACCTCAAAATCATTTAGAGTCTTCATCATTTGAAGAATGTTCTGAAGATTCTTCTTCTGAGGATTCTTCTGGTCTGACAACCTCAAAGGACAGAGTCTTCACCATCTGAAGAGGTGGTAGCCCTACCTTGGATGGTAATTATTTGTTCACTTTCTGAGCACTCACTGCTAGTGTCACTTGTTGACGTTTCTGTACCTACATAGTGACGCAAGTCCTTTATGTGTCTTGGTATGCCATCAACCAGCACAGAGCACGAGGATTTTAGTCCAGTGAAGATGCCCCACCCCGGTACCGGGTTGTAACTCGTCTATGTGGAGCTTTCACCCATGGAAATCACCCAAGTCATGGCAGTGAGCACTTTCGTTTATCCGTTCAGTTGAACGCGTTGCATCAATGCCTCGTGGAGCCAGACTTTGTACTGATAAATCCTGTAGAATTTTAAATTGAAACAACTGGAATAATGAATTCCTCTCCCTAAACAAATTAGCTACCATTTTGAGTGACCAGTGACTTGTTTGTTCATAATTAGCCTGCTTAGTATGGGAATAATGAATAAGCTGTTTAAAATTCCAAGTGTTTGAAGATAAATACTAGCAGCAATAAATAGTCATTAAATATTGAAGAATCAAAAAGTGGAATCACAAAAGGAGTTAAAGAAAGAAGTGTTATACTAATATTGATGTTAAACTAGATCTTTTTACCCTCAAATTTAAAATCTCAATTTCAAATTTTAAAAATGCTGAATTTCAAATTGAAAAAGACGGCACTTGTGGAAGTAACCAATTAGAGGCTGCGATTGCTTCTCCCCTAAACAAATTCTCATGCGAGATAAATGGAGGCCAATTGGTATGTGTAATATCAAATAGAAATTTGTCTTAATTCTTCATTGAGTGATTTTGCATATGTGAACCAAAAGAGGGATACTTGTTAATAGAAATATTTCTTTCTATCTAATTGCTTTATTTAATTTGTTGTGTACATTTTTTCAGTTAACTGAATCATGTACAAAAAATGTTTTATTTACAAAATTGGTCAGAAAGGTTCTTTTTTTAATCCTCAATACAATCATCAGCTTTTCATGAAATATTAATTTTGGTATATAAAACTTTAATTTTCCTTTAAGTTTTTTAAGTTAAAAATCTAAAAAGTTAAAAGTAAAAATCAGTGATAAAAATTTAGTATGATGTTTACTAGAGGCTAGATTTGGGCAAATTTCCATAGAGATTAGGATACTGATTTATAATCAGTTATCTTTCTTACACTGATATTTTCATATTTTTTAAACTTAAACAAAGAATGCTTAAAGACAAATTACACAAAACTTTTCATTCAGAAAACTATTGAGTATTTTTAATGTACAAATAGATTTTAGTGCTCACTAAAAATGACCATGCTTATTTTATTATTGTAGAAGTGGTAGTGTACATGGCCAAGCACTTCAGTTGATTAAAGTTGCAGTAAAATCTCTTTTAGACACATTGGGAGAAAATGATTTTGTCAATATTGCACACGTAAGTAATTCACTAATTTTATTCATTTGAAAAATGTATAAAAGATAATCATAAGTCTATAAATTATACATGTATGTAATTAATACCAAACAAACAAGAATATGTAAGCTGATTTTACTCCATCACCATGGAAATAGCTGAATTTTATTCATATTGTTCATTCAAAAATAAACCACTGCAAAATGAAAATGAAATATAAAAAGGCCAGAAAATATAATTATAAAGAAAACCATGAGTTGAAATTGAGTGAGTGAGATAAAGATTGTAATATTAACTAATTAATTTTACTTTCTTGTATGTTAATTATCTACAAGTATAATTTCAGCAATACATTTGTCTTTTAAGGAATGCAATATCCATGTAATGTTCATTTTTACTTTATAACAAATAGTCTCTATAATCTTTATAATTTATAATGTTTTGTATCAACCTATTTATGCTAAAAACATTTTCCTTTCTAAAACTTTATGCATTATGATTCTTTTTTATTTCAGTTTTCAAAAGAAGCCCAGTTTGTTAGCTGCTTCAATGATACATTTGTACAAGCAAATTACAGAAACAAAAAGGTAAAGTATAATTTATTTTATTATTTTTTTCTTTTATAGTTGATATAGTTTTATCTAATCATGATTATTTTTTCCTTTTTGCTAGATACTCACAAAAGCAGTAGAAAATTTAACAGCACAAGACATGGCTAATTTTAAAGTGGGCTTTGAGTTTGCATTTTTGCAATTTGAAAAGGTAAAGTCATTTTTCTACTTCTATCAAATATTTGCTAGTTCTCTTAACATTAATACTGATTTTTCTAATAATACAGAATATAGTCAATTTTATTTGATTTGATACATTCAGAAATTTACATTGTAAATTACTTGTTTATAGTATTTCTATTTTATTTTTATTATTAGGTTTTTGTTATTTAGTTAAGATATAACTATTATACTTTTAGTTAAGTATAATCATAAGATTGGTGGCTGAGGTGAGATCTATAAATATGAAACATTTGTAACTATTTGGATTTTAGACAATAGTGTATGCTGGATATGAATTTATTAAAAACTACAATCATAAGCAGGTAAAGGTAATTTATTAGAGGATATAATTTCAGTTGACATAAATAAGGTTAAATATACAAAATGTAGCTTATTGATTATATCAGAGAAAATGGACAGAAATAATTTTCTAACTATGAGTGATGTTTAACAGTTATTGTACATGGCTGCAGAATGAAAAAGTGAAATAATCAGCATCTTTGTTATAGTTTAGTAATTAAAATATAGCATTGTAAACTATAAAGTTAAATACTAAAAAATAAGTAAATACCACATCAATTCAGCATTTTGATTTTCTTCAGTGACAAAGTTATTGTAGATATTTCTTTCTAATTAAAATATTTATTTTTAAACTAGGAAGTTTTCTAAAAAGTACAAGGCATTGAAAGGAATTCAACAAAATTAATTGAAAATAAATATATTTTGCTATAGGTGTTAGTTGAAGTGTTAAAATTAAAAAGTAAATATGGCAAAAAGTACATGTAATACTTATTTGCAAGATGTTGGAAACTTATTAAGAAAGTACAACTATGTTAAGTGAACAATAACATAAAAGCTACCTTATGAAACATATTACACTAAAATTTTTAATGTGCTCATCTCAATAAACCTAAGAAAGAGAGATTGAGAAATCAATTTAAAAAATAAACTAAATTGATTATACTAAGTTACACAAATTTCATTTACATCCAAAGTTTGATTTCCATTATTATCATTGATTTTTAGCTTCAACTTTAAAAATTGCAGGAGAGAGATTTTACACATCAATATGAATATTCCATAAAAACCAATTTTTGTGTGCAGAATAAGAAAATTTATATAAAATTTCCACCAATTTTACAAATAAATCTTAATAATTCTTCTTTGCACAATTTACATAGATGTTCATACAAACATAACTGAGAATTATATAAGGTAATAAATGTTAAATTACACCAGTGGGAAAAGTGACTGAAGCTGAGATGACAGATCATGACTGATAACATTACTGATTCTTCTTTGGATTTCACCAGGAATCTCTAAATACATAGCAGGAGCACCAGACCAGATGTGGCAGCAATATCCAAAGCAAGTATATATGTTAGACTTATAAATATGTAAGATAGATTTTAGTAAGAAAAATTACACAGTGAACCAATTTTCTTAGCAGATTCAATATAATCTTTCCACTTTAGTCCAAGAAGATGCAATGAGTCACTCTCCTGGAGGTTAGTATCAGAAGGTAAAAATGGTTCTCTCAGATAATTAAAAGAGAGCAATTTCATTTTAGAGGCATTAAAATTAATGAGACATTTCTTAGATCAACTGCCAATTTGACCATATCAAACCACTGAGAATTATTAAGACAGGAATAAATGGTTGTATCATCAGCATAGATACTAAGTTGAGAACTGATGCCATCAGGAAGGTTGTTGATGAAAATTAGGAACAACATAAAAAAGATCTAGGAGAGAAGGCCATTCAAGACAACTTTCATTTTGCAATTTGATAAGAAAGATTGAATTAGTTCATAAATTCATCCAGAAATACCATAACCCTTCAAGTTTTGAAAATCAGTATGCCCTGTTAAAGTCCTTCAAGATATCCAAAGCAACAGCCTAGGCTTCACCATTCTTATCTAATGCTTGATACACTCTTTCAGCAATAATCATTAATACATAAGAAGTTGACCTAGAGAAGTGAAAGCCATATTGTTTATCTGATAGAAGACGCTGTGAGGTGAGATGTTTAACCAATTCAGAGTTGATTAAAGCCTCTTGTACTTTGGCAAGAAGAGGTAGAAGGCTAATAGGCCGATAAAGAGATCAGATGGTTTGCCAAAGTTCTTAGACAGGAACTACAGAAGAGGATTTCTAGCAAGTAGTTAAGCAATAGTAGCCGGTTTGAGAGCACATTTATTAAGGACTATTACAGGGATACCATCAAGTCCATATGCTTTGAGAGGATCTAGCAGAAACCATTGACAAAGTTATATATGCATTTCAGTAGGGACTCAGTTCTAAGTTGAAAGTCAGACAAAAATATTCTGCTTTATCAATAGATAAAATGAGTGAAGAGAGATAGGACAGAAAACTTATTCTTATTTAACACACTATTACAGAGCTGCCAGTAGTCACAGGAGCCAAACTTGTCAGAAGCTATGAGGTGTTTCATTCTATCTGTAGCCTCTTTGAGGACACTTTTACAATTGTTATGAGTCACTCTCCTGGAGGTGAGCATCAGAAGACACAAATAGCCTTCTGTTGTGATCAGAACTAGCATACTGGAACACCTGGAGGATGTGAGTCCTGTGGACTATAGTGGCAGTAAAGGTTGGTGTGAACCAAGAAGATTGTGGTTTCACCTGGTATTTCCAAGAAGGAACAAAAGCATCAATGACAAAACAATGGAAGTCTACTTGTTGAAAGCATGATTGTATCTGTCTATATTTCTGAGATGAGATATTATGTACACTATTTACATTATTTGGACTATTGTCCTCATCTTTGTCGCCATATTTATCACAACGTTTCGGCTGTTGTATGCTCCGGCCTTCTTCAGGTGGTTGGAATGTTGAACTGAACCCTTTATTTCGCTCACTGGGATGGACTGTTCTAGTTTCTCAAGGACACGTGGCACAGTGGATAAAGGGGTGTTGGTTAGATCCAGTGACAGGACCCAAAGAGTGTGAGTTCAATACCCGGTTAAGGCTGTGGAGAACTTGGAGAGGGGAATTAACAGGAGATAACTGATAACTGACATCCATTAAAACATGGCACATGGAACTAGAACAGTCTACCCCAGTGAGTGAAATAAAGGGTTCAGTTCAACATTCCAGCTACCTGAAGAAGGCCGGAGTGTACAATGGCTGAAACATTATGATAAATATGGCAACAAAGATGAGGGCAATAGTCCAAATAATGTAAATAGTGGAAAACATGATTGTTGCTTATGGATGATAGCACTTTTTCTTTGAAGTCTAATTTACTATAACAGTAAAGATTAATTTTATTACCTTATAATCTATTGAAAGGAAAAATTAAAAGGAAAATTTTTAAGTGAAAAACAAAAGTACATTAGAATATATTTTCACTTTTGCTTGTATGAAGGTCTTTGTCCTATTTCTTTATTCAGAATATTACCATTCATCTTGCATGCTTCATTTTCTCCACTTTTCATGCTAGGGATTATGAATGAGAACTTTTTCTTTAAATATAAATATGTAAAAAAAAATATTGTATATTTTAAAAGTAATAACTATTAAATAAAAAGTGACTAAACAATACATTAAAATTTAAATTTTAATATTATTAAACATAAAGATATAAGGAAGACAACTTTTGAAGTATTGTGGTTACAAAATCTAACATGCCTTTTGTTATATCTCGTACAAGATATAATAAACAAAGTAAACCCGAGTGTGGTTTTCAATAATAATTTTATAATCGGATGTATGTATGTCAAAATACAGAGACAGAGTCAGGAGTAAGCTAACCGCAATGGTGTTAGTAAACGAAGACCTTCTTTTCTTCTCTGCTTACTGTTTCCTGTGGTCGTATTTTATCGGCCACCAGACCAAATCCATTATCGTGAATGGGGAAGTTGGGTTATCTCATCACAACACACCTCCCCTGAAGCTGAAATTCTTCCTTTTGAAAATTTCTGCTTCTAATGTCAAATCTTCTTTTTGGATCCGGACTAAAACGCTCCACTGGTTTCTTTCCCGTGCTCCTTCTTTTAGTCGTCACAATTTGATTTTTTTTGGTGAAGATAATTTCCGCTTTTTCAGCCCGTAAGGCTGGTCCATGCGATACAGGTTCAAATACACTATTGGGTAGTGTCATGTTAAAAGCATCGCATAACACTTCCATCGGAATTTCTTCTTTCTTTTTTTTCACTTTCTTCACCATATATTGGTCTAATCTGATTGATATGTCTTTTACACGTAAATTTTTACTTTTTAATCGTGTAGACCACTTTACCAATCCTTTTCTGGATTATGCCATCCATCCAATAGCTTTTCCCACTTTTAAAATTTAAAAAAAAACTTTGTCTCCTGGAGTGTATTTTTTTATGTTGACTTTTTCCTCTTTCTTAGCAACTTTTTTTGTTTTGATAGATCTATCGAAAAAATTGATCTAATTTTCCTTGTGAACATAATTTCTGCAGGTGACATTTTCGCATCGTTGTTCTCATTAGGAGTTACCCTATAGATTGCTAAAAACTTTTTGAATAGTTCTTTCTTCAGTGTCCATACCTCTATTTTTATGTAAAAGCACGTTTAAAAGTGTCAACAAATTTCTCGGCTTGACCGTTCGACCTGGGATGGCACACTGGTGTAGTTATGTGTTCAATGTCAAGGCAGAAATCCTTAAATTCCATACTTGTGAACGCGTACCATTGTCGCTAACTAATGTTCTGGGAACCCCGAAACGACTGAAAATTTCATCCAATGCACTGATGGTGTTCCTAGATGTAGGATGCTTGCACTTGACTACCTCAGGCCATTTCAATAAAGAGTCCACCAATATCAAATAATAGTGCCCATTAATTGGTCCAGCATAGTCTATATGTAGACGTGCCCATGGCAAATCCGTTTTCGGCCAAGGATTCATTTTGACCGGAGGTGCCCTTGCAGCCAATTGACAACCTCTACATAGTCTTACAAAACCTTCAATATCCTTGTCCATTCCTGGCCAGTATCGTAAC